CTTTCTTTACAAATACAAATCACCAATAATAACTAATCTTATCCAAAAACAAACCCATCATATCAAATTCCATTGAAGAAAACAATCAACTAAAAACAACCAAATTCTTCTCATATCCAAGTAGTTACTGAAAACCCACAACCAAAAACAACCATTAATGGTGATTCTTTAAAACCCAATTCCTGTTTGAGAGATGTGTTCAATCCATCGAACAGAGGCGAAGACTAATCCATTTTACAAGCCTTGTTTAACATACACATGGTGGTTCTCTTCATCGCCACCACTTGCGGCGTCGGAGGAACTTTGATGGCGATGGGCAGCGGCGTGGAAGCAGCGGTGGCAGCACGTCGGAGGTGGGAAGGGGCTAGGGCTGGGCGGCGATGTGGCGGCCTCCTCTTCTTCTCTCATTCTTCTATCTCTCAGCCCATCTCTCTCTCTCTCTCTCTAATGCTTCATCACAGGGGAACAACACAAGATTGAAATCTGTTTTTTTTTTTTTCCGAAATTACTCACCAAAACGACGTCGTTTTGGTGAGACTGAATCACAGCCATTGGATGGATCACTCTAGGAGATCACTCTAGAGAATACACTCTAGAGGATCTTAACGCGTCAAGTAATAGTTGAGTTGAAGTGGTATATTTTTTAACTCATTATAAGGTTTCTTTTGTGAAGTTGGATTGATTTTTTGATTTTTTTGCTATTTTAGTTTGAGATTAAAAAATTCGTTTGCGTTGGTGTTTTTTTTTTAATTTTGTAAAAGAAAAAGTAAAATAATTATGATTTAGATTTGACATTTTATTTTATTAATTTTTTAATTTATTTTGTATTTTTATAATTAATTTAATCAAAAAATCAAGGGTAAATTATAACTTAACCCCTTATGGTTTACCCAAAAAACACGGAGCCCCCTTATAGTTTCATTTGTAACACTTAAACCCTTATACTTCATACCAAAGTGCAATTTTGGATGGATGTAATAGAAATTGTAAAAGGTCTAAATTACCCTTATTTATTTCTCTAATTTTCTTCTTAATGCCATTATAAACCACCAATCAACAAATTGTACAATCCATTTGGTCTTGATAGTGGTGAACCCAAGCATTGATAAGTTAACATCTGTACCTGAGGAGAAGGATAAATGGTAAACTCAAGCTTTGACTTCTCTTTCTTTCTCTCTCCCTCTCTCTCTCTCGCTCTCTATATATATATATATATCTTCTCTCTCACCGTGACCACCATCATCACCACCATTGCCCAGTTTCGTCAAAACCAAGAACCACCCTTTACAAAGTGCTATAGATGAAGCAAGAGAAGAGAGTGAATGATGAAAAAGAAAGAAATAGATTTGGAGATATTTTTTTGAAATGTGTGAAGTTTTCGGACAACTTTCGGTATGCCGAAACCACCCATTTTAGGAAGAAGTGAAAAAATGAGGTAGGGTAGAATGAAGTATAAGGCAAGGTGAGGAGATTGGTGAAAGAACGGGATAAAATAGTTAAGAATCGGGAAAGTTATGGAGTCCGAAAGATGGGCCAAAGAAATGTCGAAAACGGGAAGAAAAAGTGGGTTTGGTTTGTATGAATCCCATCAATGCTATTTCAAAAATCTAAATGTTTACACATATTAATTGTTTGATTTCATGGGTTGGGTTTGTTACTAATTTGAATTATAAGAAGAAAAGTGGGTTTGGATTATTTTTAGAGAGAGAAGTTGTGGTAGTGATTTTGAGTGGTGATTTTGCCTGGAATAAGAAGTTGGTTGTGGTTTTGCATGGAATATGATGGTGGTGATGTTGGTTGGTTGTGATTTTGCATGAAAGGTGATGGTGGTGAGATGAAAGGGAAACAAAAGGTGATGGTGGTGGTTTTCCATGGCACCAAGGATCCTCTAGAGTGTTTTTTTCCTAAAATTTCCTAAAGTAGTGTATTGTGTGGTTGAGATTAGGAAAAAAAAACTCTAGAGGATCCTTGCTCTTTGCATGGAAGATTATGGTGTTGAATATTTATATAATGAGAGAGTGAGAGAACTTGAGGTAAATGAAACAAATCAAATGAAATTAATGCTTGAGGTAAATGAAACCCATGCTCAAACATTGAATTTCGTTTGGAGATAAAGATGTTAATGTTTTGCCAAGAGTGTAATCCATGATTTATTGCACTATACCATTTTGCATATATATGGCAATAAGGGTATCTTGGTCATTTGCCATATGTTTTTGGATAGAAAAAACTGTTCCACTCTCCATTCATGGTCGTGCAGCACACGTTCTATTTAAACAAACAATTTCGTCGAAAATTGCACTTTGGTATAAAGTATAGGGAGTTTAAATGTTACAAATGAAACTATAGGGGGGCTAAATGTGAGTTTTGACAAGTCACTTTGTCCACTATCTAAGATATTGAAGGGCCGTTTATGAAGTAGTTTTTATCGACTATGTTTGACATGTTTATTTGGATTAAATTAGTCATATAGGATAAAATTGATTATTTTAGTCAAATAGGATAAAATATCACATGTAAATGATAATTATTTTATTTTTTCACTCACAAAAGTAAAAAAAAGTAAAAAAATCTATCCCCGAACGAGGCTTTTTAGCTCTGTAATAAAATAGTCAAAAGTTAAAAAATTAAAAAATCAATCCATATTTCAAACGAAGGCATAGTAACTTTTTAATTAAATTATGATGTAAATAGAAATAAATCTTTGACTTTATACAATGAATGCCAATACATTTGTTTTGTTACTGTTTTCCAAAAATACTTTTTAAAAAATTCTACCTTCTTGTTTTTCGTATTTTTTGTTTTTATTGAATTTTTTTAATATTTTAAGTAATTTTTTTTTTACTTTTTAGACATACCTAACATAAATATACCTAAAAAGTAAAAAATTTGTGAAAAAAACCTTTTAAAAATTCACTAAATACAAAAAATAAAAAAAATACGAGAATTCAGTACATTTTTTTATATTTTTCTGTATTTATTAATTTTTTAAAATATTTTTTCATAATTTTTACTTTTTAAATACATCTAAGTAAGGTGTATCTAAAAAAGTAAAAAAATGTTTAAAATTTTAAAAATATTCACAAAAAACAAAAAAATACGAAAATCAAAAAATTCAATTTTCCAAAAATTAAATCCCAAAAACTCAAACCAAACACATGATTGTTTTTTAAAACTTTTTTTATAAATTGATTTTTTATTTATAATTTTTGACTTTTTCCTAATTTAGGCCTATTTTGAGAAGATGATAAGAAGTGATTTTTTAACTTTTAACTAAGCTTGGGTTTTTTAGACAATGATTTGAAAAGTTGGTAAAAAGTTACTTTTGACTTTTTTAATTAATATTTGTTTATGATGTCAAATCACAATAAAATGACCAAATTACCTCCATTAATTTAAGATATTTACAACTTCACTCATGTAGGACACTTTGACTCATGAGGGATAGAATTATAATTTTACCAATAACTAAAAATCAACTTCTCAAATAAAAAAAAAATATAAAAAAATTAATTTTTACCTTTTATTCCTACCGATTCGAACAACACCAAAAAAATCCAAAAAAAAAAAAAAAGGCTAAAAGCCAGCTTTCCAAAATAGTTGCTTACGAAACTAGGCTTGAGTATCAGTAGCATGAATTCTGATATAAATAATTAGGGTGTCAGCTTGATGAGAAGTTGTTGGTGGATAAAGGACAGTCTCACTAGGCGTACGTACTGTAATTGGTGAAAGAAGTTAGATTTAAAAAATATAAAAAAATATAATAATTTATGATGAATCAAAAATATGACCACGAGATATATTAAGGTTTCGTTTGGGAACAGGTTAATTTAGTAATTTTTTAGTTATTTGGCTAAAAAGATAGGTAAAAAAAATTTGTATATTTAGAATGACTTTTTGACTAATTACGAAAAGATGTGCAAAAAGTAGAGAGAAAAGAATATTTTTGACTTTTTGGTATGAATTGTTGGTTTTTTTGACTAATTTAATAATTTTTTGACTACTTGACTAAAAAAAGCAAGTCCCCAAACGGAGCCTAAGTAACAATTTTTCCAACTAGATCTACTCTTTACATAAACATAAGTGTCATTATCACTAAAAACTTTCGTTCACTAAAATCACCCATATGAGAAGAAATATATTTCACAAGAGGTGAGTTTTATTTATTTATTTTCTTATGTGTTTTTCATTACGTGAAATATTGCTATGTTTAATTTGATTTTCAAAAATTTATTTCAAAATTAAAAAAAACTAAAATAAAAATAATTATCATTTTAATATAGTTTTATTTTTTAGAGTGTAGAAATATTCTTAAAAATTTTAAAATATGTTTTAATATATAATTTTATCAAATTAATTTTTATTTTTTTAAAAAAAATTCAGAAAATTAAACCAAACATTCCCAATGTCTCCATTTGGGACTGGGGATCCTGCTGTGCCCATAGCAGGCTGCTATGCTCTCCTGCCGTGTATCATTATGAGTGTTTTTTTTGATAATTTAAATCGTTTATATTGTAAAATTTATCGGATAAATTATTTATAACAAAAATCAAGTTGATTGGATATTTACAGCCCTATAACTAAAACACATTTATTTTTATAAAAATTAACGATTAACATAACGTTTATAAATTTTTACATAAAAAATATTCTTGATAATTCTTACAATTTAAACGATTCACATCATAAAAAAAAAAAAAAAACTCGGGACGACACAGCAGGCTTCCCTCTAGTTGTGCACCATAACTTGAGAATGATCGGACGGTTTAAATACATTCTGATAAGATGGGCCCACAATCACAGAACCCTCACCAAGATCCAATTTGGAATACTGTAGTTGGGGGGACACTGACTCCCAAGCCCACCGACACCAATCACACCAGCTCCGTCTCGCCACGTGTCCAATGGCCTGAACCAACGGCTCCAAATGCTCCGCGACCGCTTCCTTCCTCCTCCTCCTCCTCCTCTCTACTCGTGTGTATATATACATTCATATATCTCTCTCTCTTTTGCAATCCAATCTACGTAACAATCTTACTTCATACGCTCTTTCTCTCTCTCTCGCTCTCTAAAATTCGGAGCAGAGATCTTCGACCTCTGCAACAATGGAGATGTTCTATTACCTCGTGTTCGGGGCTCTCGCGGCCATAGTCGCAGTTCTGGAGCTAAGCAAGAACAACAAAGATCGGATCAACACATCTCAGGCTTTCAATTCCTTCAAGAACAATTACCTTCTCGTATACTCTCTCATGATGGGTAATTCCGATCTAAACCTTTCAATTGTGTATGCATTATATGAATTTCAACTACACTTGTCGTAGTTCTTTGATTATCTCTTGTTACATGACTTGATCCGATCTGATTTTTTTTCGGATCTAAGTTTTGAGTTTTGTTTGTCTTAGGGCTTATGGATTTTTTTTAATGTGGTTGAAACGCCGGATCTGGATTTTAGTGTCGCTTAATACTCTGATTGGTTACTGAAAATGTAAAAGCATTTGAGTGAAGTGAGTCTGATGGAGTCAATATGTTATTTGGTGTATTTGATCTGACTGGTTTTATATATTTAAAAAAAAATGAAAATGAAAATGATTTATTTACAAACAGAATTTGTAGCTAATGTCCCTTTTTCAGCATTCTCTTATGATGAATATGTTGTTTGTTTTCTTTGATCTGACTTGTTTTATATGAGGAAGATGAAAATGATTTACAATTTGTATAGGATTTTTACCTAATTTCACTTTTTCAGCAATTCTCTGTTAGTTGACCAAACTTTTTTGACGCTATTGCTAGCTCATGAAAACTTTTTTAACGCTATTGCTAGCTCATAAAAAAAAGGTAGGATAAATTACAAATATACTCCTAGTTTTGTTTAAAGTACAAATTGGCCTTGTGATTTAGAAAATTACAAATACCTTATTGTTAGTATTTTTTTATTTAACAAATTTAACTGAAAAATTGAATTTCATAATTGCTCTCCTATATAATATTAAAATTACCTAAATTATTAATTGAAATATATTTCTAACATTATTAAAAATTGTTAATTGACTTGATGATTTATTAATAAAAAGGGCGATTTGTTATGAAATTAGAAACCTCAAGGGGTGGAATGTAATTTCCAAAACTACAGGGGGCGATTCGTATTTTAATAAAACCTTAGGGGGTGTATTTGTAATTTATCCAAAAAAGTATCGATGATTAGAAGAAAGTTAGATGTAAAACTCCCTTTCTTTCCCACTTTAGTTTTCTTGGCAGGCAACTAGAGGGAACTACTTTCTTAGATCCATATCTTAGGTGAATTAATTGCCTTGAGCAGCCACTTTAAGAATTTAACACTATGTTTAGTTTGGTTTTCAGAATCTGTTTTCAAATTTTTCTTCTTCTAAAAAACTAAAAATTAATTTGATGAAAAAAATGGAAAAATAAAAAACTTACCATTTTTATATAGTTTTATCTTTTGGGGGGTAGAAATAATTTTTAAAAATTCAAAAATATCTTTTTGATGTTATTTTTTCCCATCAAGCTAGTTTCTTTTTTTTTTTTTTATAAAAAACAATTCTGAAAATAATTTCAGAAAACCAAACTATACATTTGCACTGCCTAAGATGTTAATATAGATTATTTGAATTGTATGTATCACTCTTTGGGCATATACCTTTTATCTTTTCTGATTTGTTAGTGTTTATGTGGCAATAGCCGGGGATTGGTTGCAAGGCCCGTATGTGTACTATCTATATAGTACATATGGGTATGGGAAAGGGGAGATTGGACAACTCTTCATAGCAGGTTTTGGATCTTCCATGTTGTTTGGGACAATTGTTGGGTCTCTAGCTGATAAACAGTAAGATTTCCCTTGGACTTGGTGCATTATCATTCTTTAATGATTAGACTGTTATTTATTTTTGGCTTTTGAAACCTTGTAAAACTAAATCCAGGGGTCGCAAGAGAGCAAGTGTGACTTACTGCATTACCTACATACTGAGCTGCATTACCAAGCATTCTCCTCATTACAAAGTTCTGATGTTGGGTCGTGTTCTGGGTGGTATTGCCACTTCTCTCCTCTTTTCTGCATTTGAGTCGTGGCTTGTGGCAGAGCACTTTAAGGTAGGGGTTTCCATTCTCCCCATGTTCTTAAATATAGTAGGGACTTAAAAATTTGGCTTGCTTATTGATTACATGTGATGTGACCACTGTATTTGGTGAAGTGGTGTAAGCATAGTTTCTGTATACTCTTCGCGATGGGAAACATTTTTCCCCCCAGAAGAAGCCTTTTTTATAGGTGGGAACCTTTTTCCCAATCTTCTCCCCCCCACCCCCCAAAAAAAAAAAAAAAAATTAAAAAAATAAATAAAAAGATAGCTTACTAAGAAAAGAAAAACAAAAATCAGGTAAAAACCCATAAAGTTTCCTCTGCTAAATCAAATTTTCCTGAACACTAGGTATCTAAAGTCATCCTGAACAGTTCTTGAAGCCAGATGATATGTGACGATAAAATGCTTCAAGAAAACGACACTGAAAACATATAAATACGTAATTAGTTAGTAATCCAATTTAAATATATGTATATTTGATTTTAGTGGGAGAGATATATTATGTTTTGAATGAAAACTTGTTTTTGTAGACATTATATGCCACCCATTTGATACTTTCCACATTCACCTCCCAAATTCTTAAAGTGTTTCCATATGGTTTGTCCATTGGTTTCTCTGATGTTTGCCTAACTTTTTCATATCATGTTCTCCATTTTACATCCATGCTTCCATTTGTTGATTGTTCTCTTTAGTCTTGCTTCTTACTTACTGAATCTGCAATTATATAGGTGTGAACCATATAGTTGCTTGATATCTATACTTCTTCTCATGTGTCTTTGCCTAATTGTAAAATAAAGCCTAATGAACAGTCTATGTTGGTTTTGACTATGAAATTTACCATCTCATTTCGGTCTCATTTTCTTCTTAATGTTCAGAGAGGGTTTGATCAACAATGGCTGTCACTAACATTCTCAAAGGCAATATTTCTCGGCAATGGTCTAGTTGCTATTCTTTCTGGGTTATTTGGAAACATGCTAGTTGATAGCTTGAGTCTTGGGCCTGTGGCACCTTTTGATGCTGCTGCGTGCTTTCTTGCAATTGGGATGGCCATTATTTTATCTTCATGGACTGAAAATTATGGAGATCCTTCAGAGAACAAGGACTTGCTTACCCAGTTCAAGGGTGCAGCCGTGGCCATTGCTTCAGGTAGATGCTTACACTGGCTTTATGCTCTATAATTGTCGTTTGGCTTTATAAATTTTAGTATCATAGCATGTGGTGCTCATGGAGTAGACCCTGGGGGACTGCATCAAGAGACAGATCTAGTGATTATGGATTCCTCTTTTAATGATTACTGTATGCAATGTCATTTAAGATATTTATTTGCTAGGCTGCATTTTCCAAATCGTAGCTTGGCCAAAGATTCTTTGGTACACCTTATTTGTTTCTTAATTGCCTTCTCCATGCTTCATCCTGCCTCGAGTATCTTCTTTTCTTTGTTTTTGTCATTGTTGCTTCTGTTGTTCTTCTCTCTTTTAATTATGTAGTTATTTTCATTCTCTCTCTCCTTGATCCCCTAATATAACAATTTATGTGGTTTAGATGAGAAGATTGCATTATTGGGCGCAATACAGTCCCTCTTTGAAGGCTCAATGTATACTTTTGTGTTCCTCTGGACTCCTGCCTTGAGCCCGAATGATGAGGAAATTCCCCACGGTTTCATTTTTGCAACTTTCATGTTGGCATCTATGTTGGGAAGCTCAATTGCATCTCGCCTGATGGCTCAGTCATCTCCTAAAGTCGAGAGCTACATGCAGATTGTATTTGTAGTTTCTTCCATCTCTCTCCTGCTTCCAATTGTGACAACTGTGCGTATTTGGTCTCATTTTATTCACCTTTTTTCTCTTGAAATCTTCTGTGTTGGTCATCTGTAACTTCACCTTTTTTGGAACAGTTCTTGGTTGCTCCTTCTAAGGTGGAAGGTGGAGGCATCTCCTTTGGCAGTAGTCTGCAGCTCCTTGGCTTCTGTACCTTTGAGGCTTGTGTGGGGATATTCTGGCCTTCGATCATGAAGATGAGGTCTCAGTACATTCCAGAGGAAGCCAGAAGCACCATCATGAACTTCTTCCGCATTCCTCTGAACATATTTGTGTGCGTTGTGCTATACAATGTACGTAACTTGATTTACTTTGTTTCACTCTTTCAACTTAGATGGTGCTTTTGTTGTTTGACTAGCTTGAATTGAACTCAATTAGATCTGAACCTATTCCCCCTTTTCTCATCTTTGTTGGCATGCCAGTAGTACCAAGAACCATTATTCAACTTTATCCAATTAGAGCCATACAGACCTCAACTGCTGGTTTGGCTGTCCTAAACTTATTGTTTTTGCTAACTTAGCCAGAATTTTCTAGAAAGACAGATCCTGCTAGAGATCTAGTCAATTATCCAATTTCCAAGCACTTGTCTTTCCCGATAAAAGTCATCTACCCTCACTTCAGAGTGTAAGAGTCAGACTCTCTTCCTCACGCTAGGTGTAGGACCTCAGTACTTACCATCTCACCAAAACCCATAGGTAATGGTGAAGACGCAACTTTTATTCCCTTAAAGGGTACACTGCCAAGCGTCACAAGTTGACTGTGACTCGACCTTACCCCGGGCCTCGCCATGGCAGGATGCTGGCCCAAACCCAGGCCAACAATCACCCCGGCACCTGCTCGCATGCCTTCCAGGGGAATCGAACTTGAGACCTTGCTCTGGTACCAGTTGTAGGACCTTAGCGCTTATCTGTAGGTAGTGGTGAAGGCTTAACTTTTATTCCCTTAAAGGGTACAACATCAAACGCCACAAGTCGACTGTGATTCAGTCTTACCCCGGCCTCTGCCACAGCAGGATACTGGCCCAAACCTAGGCCAACACTAGGAACCAGGAACTTTCCTCAAACTTGTACGTGGGTTACTTGCCGCGCTGGCTAGCGAGTTTAACACCATCATTGTCTCTGTTCTTGGTTTGGGGGCTTTCGGGCCCCTCTCGATCTTATTAGTAGTTGGGAAGTGGGAAGAAGTCTAAATCAATTGACATTAATGTACCATCATTGATGGACGTTGCACATGGCATGATCAGTTCGACTAAAGGTCCGGCGCTAATATGTACATATATCTATTTTATCCACATAGTGATTCATTCAAGAATTGAATCAAATAGTAAAGCCATGGTAAGGCGCAAAGTCATCAATTCAAATCCAATAAGGGCCTTTGGCCCCTTTTTCATAAAACTTCTATCATAGTATTTATTTTTTGAAGGCAGAATAGAGATATTGTTAATATAATATTCGTAATACAAAAAAGTAACCAACAGTATAAAAAGTTATAAATTTTATTACTCTATACTATAATTCATTATAATATTCTCTTAAACTCCTTAGAATGACATTTAAGTTGTTGGATTGTTTCATTCATAGGTCGCTCTATGAGAGCCACCATTCCATAACTCCCTCTAAATAGAACTACTGAATCATTTTCTTTTCTGCGATTTGAGTTTTATCCAACCCAGTATTACTTTCTCATGTTGTGCCTTTATACCACAGAAGACATTTCCAATGATATTTGGCACCTTTCACCTTCCTCTTTTTGTGTTCTTTCTTCTTTTGCTTCAATAACTTAGGGGAGCAATGCTAAGTCTCTTTTTCTTTTTATTTTTTCGCTCAAAATTTGATTTTGTTGTGCATTTGAAGGTTAATGCATTCCCGATCACTATAATGTTCGGTATGTGCTCAATTTTCCTCTTTGTGGCATCTATCTTGCAAAGGAGGCTCTTGGTGATCGCTGATAAGTCAAGTAAGTACATTTTTGCTGTCAGATGTAATTATCAAATATTTTAGTCCATGATATATTTTTTTTTGCCTGTATTCTATATAAAAAACACCATCGCCACCCGACACTGATGAGCTAAAAGTTTTTTGGTGTGACAATACTCTTCTTTTTTTTTTTTTTTTTTTTTTACACAGAGGTTCAAGATTGGGCTGCAATGAAGGAAAGGGATGCTGAAGCAGAGCCATTGAATGATGCTTGATGCCAGAAAGTGTGACAAAAAACAAAAAACAAAAAAACAAAAAAACTGGGAGGTTGAAAACAGCCACCTAATTCATTCCATAAACTGTTGATGGCTCGGCTTGATTCAGGGTACACTAGATTTAATGAAGGTCACAAGTTATAAAGGCGAAAAAAGAATAGAGGGCTTCGCTGCAAACAAAGGATAAAAAAAAAAGGGGGTGGAGAAGAAGGTTATGTATTGTTTGTTTCTTGGTCATGGATAAAGCATCAGGGAGGGAGGTAGATTAGTTTGATTGAATTCTTCTATTAAAGCTTGTTACCACTGGGGCATTCAAATGTTCTCTTTTGTAATTTTCATGTTTTTGTTTTCTAATATAGGTCTTGGGACGCCACATATTTCGACCCTAATTTTGTTTTCAACATTTTTTAAAATTTGTCCTTTTTTCTTTAGTGAAATTGTGAAATTGCAATAATGATTCTGTAGAGCAGCTTTATCTTTCAGTTTTTAGTGAAGTGGTGTGAAGGAGTTGCAAATCTTATCTTTCAGTTCTTGGGATATACCTATGTAGAAAATATTCTTGAAAGGTGAAAGTACAAGAAAGTAATGTGGAAAGTTACTATGGAAAGTTACTACAATAAAACTTCTAGTTCAACGGTAATCCAACTAAAGGGTATGTTCAACCTTGATGAGCTTATCACGAGCCACTTTAATGATTTAAATTATTTATTTTGTAAATTTTTTTGAATAGATTATATGTGCAAAATAAATTATGTTTATCTATTTATCGATATTTGATGAAATTGATTTTTTTTATTGTAAGATATATGAGATTAACGGTTTAGATTATCGGAGAGAGGTTCACAAAATGACTATGAAAAAGTATGAAAACTAACAAAATCATTTCAAACATCAGGTCAGGGTTTTTTTTTTTTTTATTTTTATTTTCTTTCTTTCTTTTGTAATTTTCTCAAAAAAAAGAAAAAAATTTGCAACAGTGAATCTGTCACTTAAACAGTATTTGCAACAGAATGAGATATGAGCGTTTTGCGACAGATTCCGTCGCAAACACCACAGAATTTTGCTTATAGTTTTAGTGACGGAAAAATGTTCTGAACAAGTTAGTTGCAAAAGGTTTCGATCGTCTATTGCCATTAATGGTCAAAAATTGGAGTGAGTTTGGCAACAAGTCAAATAAGTTGCTTATTAACTTATTGATTTATTTCTGTCACATTATTTTTATTTTTTTATATATTTTTTCGTAAAAAATCAAAAAATCAAAATAAATAAAACCCAAACTCATCCGCAAAAAGTTTTTAGGGCGATTAGCTTGCGTGGTTTATTAGTATTCGTGACATTAAATTTATCCTAATTAATGTTTTGCAACAGTTTGAAAGTACAGTGAAAGTCTAATTAATTAACACCAATGTTATTATTTTTACAAAAATAACAAAAGTTAGAAAGTACTTACGTTTTATTGAATCGCAAGTGAAAGTCTAATTAATTAACACAAATCTTATTATTTTTAAGGGAGTTCTTTTGATAATTTTTTTTTGGAATTTTTATTGATAAGTCCAATTTAGAAGTGTTTTGACCCAAGAAGTCCATGAATGAATTTTTTAACCCATTTAGTCCCATGTATGTATAGTTTTATTCCATAAAGTCCATTTTCTTGATTTACAAATTGTGAAATTGCAATAATGATTCTGTAGAGCAGCTTTATCTTTCAGTTTTTAGTGAAGTGGTGTGAAGGAGTTGCAAATCTTATCTTTCAGTTCTTGGGATATACCTATGTAGAAAATATTCTTGAAAGGTGAAAGTACAAGAAAGTAATGTGGAAAGTTACTATGGAAAGTTACTACAATAAAACTTCTAGTTCAACGGTAATCCAACTAAAGGGTATGTTCAACCTTGATGAGCTTATCACGAGCCACTTTAATGATTTAAATTATTTATTTTGTAAATTTTTTTGAATAGATTATATGTGCAAAATAAATTATGTTTATCTATTTATCGATATCTGATGAAATTGATTTTTTTTATTATAAGATATATGAGATTAACGGTTTAGATTATTGGTGGGAGTTTAGAGAGGTTCACAAAATGACTATGAAAAAGTATGGAAACTAGCAAAATCATTCCAAACATCAAGTCAGGGTTTTTTTTTTTATTATTTTTATTTTCTTTCTTTCTTTTGTAATTTTCTCAAAAAAAAGAAAAAAATTTGCAACAGTGAATCTGTCACTTAAACAGTATTTGCAACAGAATGAGAGACGAGCGTTTTGCGACAGATTCCGTCGCAAATACCACAGAATTTTGCTTATAGTTTTAGTGACGGAAAAATGTTCTGAACAAGTTAGTTGCAAAAGGTTTCGATCGTCTATTGCCATTAATGGTCAAAAATTGGTGTGAGTTTGGCAACAAGTCAAATAAGTTGCTTATTAACTTATTGATTTATTTCTGTCACATTATTTTTATTTTTTCATATATTTTTCCGTAAAAAATCAAAAAGTCAAAATAAATAAAACCCAAACTCATCCACAAAAAGTTTTTAGGGTGATTAGCTTGCGTGGTTTATTAGTATTCGTGACATTAAATTTATCCTAATTAATGTTTTGCAACAGTTTGAAAGGACAGTGAAAGTCTAATTAATTAACACCAATGTTATTATTTTTACAAAAATAACAAAAGTTCGAAAGTACTTACGTTTTATTGAATCGCAAGTGAAAGTCTAATTAATTAACACAAATCTTATTATTTTTAAGGGAGTTCTTTTGAAAAAAAATTTTTCTAAGAGTTTTATTCCATTCAATCCATATTCTTTTTGACTATTTTATTAAGTTCTATTTGAGGTAAGAAGACCAAAATATCCTTTTTACCTACTTATGTTCCATTTAGTCCACATTATTTTCTTATGTTTCAATAAGTCCTATGGGTGACATAATTACCAAAATACCCCTAATGTGAATGTTCACACCGTCAATGTGAATGTTCCTGTTTGAGGTAAGAAGACCAAAATACCCTTTTTACCTACTTATGTTCTATTTAGTTTACATTATTTTCTTATGTTTTAATAAGTCCTATGGGTGACATAATTACCAAAATATCCCTAATGTGAATGTTCATATCCTATAGGTGACATAATTACAAAAATACCCCTAATGTAAATGTTCACATCGTCAATGTAAATGTTCATATCATCAATGTGTAGGGGCTCGGCCCAGCTCGGGCCAGGGCTAACTCATATAAAGCCTCGTGGGTGCTTGCCAAAATTCGGGCCGGGCCGGACCGTCCCACGGGACAAAAAATTAGGCCTAGGCCCTAGCCCTAGCACACAGGTATTTAGGCTTTGGGTGCCCCGGTGGGTCGAGCCAAGGGGCTTAGGCTTAGACTCGGGCTTGGGTGAGCCTCGCCATTTTTTTTTATTTTTTCTCTCAAAATTTTATTATTTTCCACAAAAAAGACACCAGGCCTCTGGCGGGCCGGGCCTCGGGCCGAGCCTTAAATGGGCCTTATGTGGGCCGAGCTTCAAAGTGATGGCCCAGGTACTAACCCAAGTTCTCGGGCTGGGCTCGGGCCCGGGCCCAAACGAGCTTGTCCCGGGCTGTGGGAGGGCTTTAGGTGGCTCACGGGCCGTGGCCTAATTTTACACTCCTATCAATGTGAATATTCACATTGTCAACAGGTCGAACCCGCTCCGGGCCGCAGGCCAATTTTACACTCCTATCAATGTTAATGTCAACATGTCAATGTGAATATTCACATTGTAAACGGGCCGGGCCGGGCCGGGCCCGCGGACAGGTTTCGGGCCGCCTACGGGCCGCGGGTCAATTTTACACTCCTATCAACGTGAATGTTAATATGTTAATGTGAATATTCACATTGTCAACGGGCCGCGGGCGGGTTTCGGGCCTCCCACGGACCGCGGGCTAATTTTACACTTGACATGTAAATATTCACATTGTCAACGGACTGGGCCCGTCTCGGGGGCGATCTTCGGACCGCTCACAGGCTACGGGCCAATTTTATATTCTTACCAATGTGAATGTTAAAATATGAATATTTACATCATAAAATTGCTAACCGTTCAAAAAATATTTGTAAGGGTATCAAAATTAAATATAAGGGCATAAAAATCTAAAAAAAGAGTGTAAATCAAGAAAAAAGACTTTATGGAATAAAACTATACATACATGGAACTAAATGGGTTAATAAATTTCTCCATGGACTTTTTGGGTTAAAACACTTCTAAATAGAATTTATCAATAAAAATCCCTATTTTTAAAATCCAACAAAAATCATTTCAAAATAGTACACAAATGCATTTTATCATTAGTGTTTTGCACAACCTGAGTTTTGGACAAATGAGAAAACATAAAAATAAAAATAATAAAATTGGGGGGACGGACCTTCTCAAAAAAGAATATCTAAAGCATACCATCTTCTCCCCATTCAAACTGTTAATATAGACAAATTTATCAGTGAACCAAGTCAACTTTGAACCCTAAATAATATGCCGTTTTCTTGCTGCAAGCATAGTTTTGGTTTCAGGATCATCACAACTCTAATATACCCGGTTTTCTCGCATGCCGCTATAAAAATTGGGGCTAGAAAACAAAGTGTCAAACGACTCAAACTCATCAACTATTAACTTGCTAATCATTTGATATAAGTTTAATCTTTCTTTTAGGGTTAGAATTTTACAAAAACTCAAGCTTGTATGACTAGGAAAAAAACCCCCTCAGAATCATCAATTAAGTATTTTTTTCCATACCTATTTGTATAAAATTATTATTAAAAAAAAAAAAATCACACAAAAAGCTTTGAAACAACTGCAATGCCTTATCATCTAACATTAGTTGTAAGAGAAGACAATGCCGATTGGATCAGACTTTCCAGTCCGCTTCTCATTTGTGTGACAGTATTTACCAATGGTTCTGCAAAGCCCAAATCCTGATGCATAAGCTCATCATCTTGTAGTACTTGAATCTGCCTTTCCAAATACTTTCTCAGACTAGCCTCTGCGACGTTGATCAAACTGAGAGAAGCGTTCGTATGCATGAATTTTGTAACAAGAAACCCTGCCAGAACCTGCTGGTCGGCCTTCACGAGCTCAGATACGAAACACGGGAAGAGAATTATTCTAAAAAGAGACGATACACCTTTGTTGTCATTTTTGTGTTCATTTTCCCCTTTATTTTTGATGCTCAACAACTGGGCTTCTTGACACTGGCGAGAGAAATTCCCGACCATGTAGCAAAGAAACGAGAAAGTGGTGCCATAGGAAGAGCTTGAGATGATTGTTGATATGAGCCCGGAAGACAATACAAGAATCAAAAACTCGTGGTCCTTGCTAATCGCGTCTGATACACCTCCTTGCTTCAGCTTGTCCTCAACCGCATCCAAACACTGCACCTGTACTGCTTCGTAAGGCAATAACAACGCCATCTTAAGCGCAGCAAAGCAATCTATCCTGAGTACAATTTGGCTTAGGCTATGGGCACCAACTTGATCAAGCAATATTCCATTCGATTTTCCTATGGATTTGTCAACCAGTTTTAACAAGTCTTTAAACCGAGAGAGCGCTACCAGTTTTTTGAAGATCTCAAACCAACATGCGTGTAAAGGATGAATGGAAGGGGAGTCATCTTTCTCAGGTTCTTTCTCAACATGATCTTCTTGAAAGCTTTCCCATCCCTCGTCCCAATCATCATTGCCCCAATCATTTGCAGCCTCAGCCGATTCTTCTGCAGAATCTGCTGCCTTGTCTCTCCCAATTGTGTAGAGCCCTTCCCACTCGTGCAAAATGGTTAGCAAAGCATCAAAATGGGGTTCGGATATAGCATCTTTACATAATCTCAAAAAGCAAGAAACTGCCGAGTCCACAGTCAAGAGATCTTCAGGGGTAATTTCTATGCTCAGCGAGATGGCTCGGACGAGCTGTGACGATTTAAGCGCAACCAAAGTATTTGTCAGCCTATTGGATGCATCTGTTTGAGTTGGTGTCTTGTGATCAGCTGTAGTCTCATTCTTGGCAGTTATACTTCTCAGATCATCCCATCCGTCCCATGGCAGAACATTTGATTGCAGCTCAGCTGAAAACCGCTTAAAATGTCTACCTGAACCTGTAATAAATTGCATAAGCTCCAGCGCATAAACTCGAACATGGCTCGGTAGATGCAAGTCATCGGAGAACTTGACCATTCTTTCCCAAACAGCATGCCTGATGCTTTTCAGATCCTCCAAATCACTATCCATCCTACTTAAAGACGACAGCAAACAATGCAAATTCTGGCGATCAAGAGATCCGGCAGCCAAGTCCTGTAAAATGGTTTCCAATATAGTTGAATATAGATGGGGAAGATCTTGAATCCCCTCGAAGTATGTTTCATTGTCGGAGATCAAAGTTGAGTCAGTTTGAAATTGTGACACTGCTTCAGAATATACTTCTGCAATGGCTCCAAAACCACACCCAGAAAAAACCATTGCCCTGCAGAAATTCAAGATGTCAACGGCAAAGCCACCCATGAGGCCATGGCTAACGTAGCCAATAACAGTGCCCCAGCCCTGACTTGGAGAGACTCTCCCCTCTACTATTAGCCTCACAAAAGCCCCAAGACAACACATTAAAGATCGTAGGTTATATTTTTCTTCAGGACTCTCATGGGATGTGAATTCCTGAACATCATCAATCACTCTGAGCCAAAAAGTTAAAAGGAAGACGAGACAGTCCTGCCATGTTGAATCACTAGATAGATCCCCAAAAGATTTATTAAGGGGTATTATCACCCTGAAGATTTGCTTCACCAAGTCTAAAACATCTGGATAGTTCAAGACCCTGATGTACTTTTTGCAAACATCGTAGATCTGTTCAAGCTCACTCATTAAGCTATGAAGGTTTTTGGGGCATTCAGACTCTGTGAGCATTTTGGCTCTCGTCTCCAAAGCTTTTAACAAAGAATGTATATGGTGTCTGTAGACATCCTGCCATGATATATGACACTCGGGCACTGGATCTCTATAGATGCTGATAAGGGTCTTGACCATTGTTGCCAACGCTTCCACACAATATTCATCAACGTGAGCATAGACTTCACTGCTGAAGAACTCGAAGTTCAAACCACCTAATCCAGCAATATTTTTGAAGTTCAGGGTCTTAATAAAGGACACCCTATTGCATTCTTGCTCGACTACCTTGTAAAACTGAGCTAAACTAATGGTTATATGTGCTGGATCTGGGTGAAGCGTGGGTGGTAATGCTTTTGTTCCTTCAAGCTGCAAGTAGCAGTCAGAAAGCAAGCCGTATACATAAGCAAGGCACTGTTTGCGATGCCCATCAATTGCAGGGTAGACAAACATGGAAATGGTTTTGATGACTTCTTCAGCAGAACCAAGTATTTCATTTTTAAATTCTGAAATTTCAGCTGTGACATCATTAATTGTCCAAACTTCAGAAACAAGGACAGAACTGAGGTACTGCAGTAGCACCTGAAAAGAAAAGAAATGGAAATGAAAAAAATTATCTGACAAATTAATTTGGTTTGCATGAATTATATTTAGTGTAAGTCTGCATACCTTGGTGCAATTCAAGCCATAGGTAGAAGCTAACTTCAATACATCCTTCAAAATATTCTTCTTCTCCAACTTTACTGATTCAATAAAGGAGAAAACAACACTCTCGATGTAGTTAATGTCCCCAGACAAAAAGCGCGTGGTTTCGACACCGGGAATTATTTGCTCTAACACTCTAGAGTGATCTGCCACACGCTTTTGTTCTTCCAACTTCAGTTTCCAATCTCTCCAAAACGAAGATTGTGCCCTGTCAATTTTGTCTAGTTCATCTGAATTCAATTCAAAAGTTGGGATGTGAGAAGCAAAACAATAACAGCATAGCATGCAAAGATAAGACCACTTAATTGAAGCCCTCTGAGAGCACCAAGGATCATAAAAGCAAAAGTGGTGACAAAAAGAATGATATCTGAATCGAAGGAGAAATGCAAAAGGAGGAGAGTAGATAACCTGAAGTGAGTGATTTGTGCTTCTCTTGAAACTTCCTTAGTAACAATTCCCTCCTCTGAGCAGGATTCTCACACCCGACTGCAGAGTTGTGTAACAAACTATATATCATCCCCACACTCATAATGCTACAGATTTCATTATATGCTTCCCTTTTTCTCACCTGTTCTTCTATTATTTCCACCCCATGAAAGGCATCTATAAGATTCAACAGAAACGAGGACCCTATAATGTCTTCCTCCTCAGTAACAGGTGGTTCCATTATTGATTTTGCCAGAGATGCTATCAAATCATCCCTAGGAGCAAAACCATTCCTCACCAACCAGGATAGAATAGCTACCACTGCTTGTGTTCTGACGCTTATGTAGTGCTTTCCTGACAATGAGCCAACAATTAACTTTTTACCATATTCCGCTTTGCAACTTAATTCAAGCAACCATGGAAGTTGTAAAGCAGCAAAGGACAAAATTTTACTATTTTCTCCAAGAAGAGTTTCCCAATCAGATCCACTATCCTTTGACAAGTCTTTAGCAACGAGGGAAAGAATATTAATAATATTTTTTATTTGTACTCCTTGATCCTCACAACTGATTCTGTGAACCTGTTGAGAGAAATCTCTTAGATCAGCCATGTCTTGAGAATGTTGGAGTGGAAATGAGATAAATGAGGAACCATGAACTGAGAATTTGGGGGGATCTGTTCCTGTCAACATCATTAATGTTTCACATTTGGCTTGCAAATCTAGATCTTTCCATGCATGCAGCAGCTCACCAATTGACTCGTCATCACAATAGCTCAAAGCAAAACCCAAAAGCTGCTTTCGGGAACTTATATCCATGTTTTCAAGGTCAGGACCTCTTGCCATTGCAACACACAAGTCCCAGACAGATCCATGCCCCTTTTTAGCCAAAACAAGGCAGAGATCAAAAGCCAGTTGAAGATCACCAGCAACTGCTGCTTCCCTTGCAATAGCTTCTTCAACAGTTGCTATGTCATCTTGAGAGCTCAACCCAAGGAGTTTCGCAGTTTCAATAAGTTCATCAACATTTAGGTAAGCTCCAGCTTGACTTGTAATTGCTAATTTAATAATCTCCATTGGATCTTTTATTTGCCTAAATTGCACAGGTAAAAGGGTCACACCAAGATTTGGAAGTTTAACCGTAAGTGCATCCATGATATCAGCCTCTGCCCTGACACTTCTGCTACTTGGGAAAAGATTCACACATTCCTTAGCCTTCCAGATCTGAAACAAGGTCCAGCACCTTAGTTAATGAATTTTACATGGAGATTTTGATAGAGCAACAAAATTTGGTTCAGATATTTTTTTGATAAGAACATGTATTCCATTGAATGTGACTATATACAAGCATTACATTAATCAGACGGAGGTAATACCAAGTTCCTAGTTAGTTAATAACTCCACATAGTAGAACTACAGCTGAGAAACATTAAATAAATCTATATTTACATAAAAAGAAATAGAAAGTGCCTACTTTTGTATGATTCCTGCCTAGGTTCTTATCCCTGTACATATCAAAAGGATGAACAATATCAATCCTAATTTTTGTTTTCCTCTCAATTACGAGCACAAGAGATGAATGGGTTCTCAAATAAGGAGATATATGTAAAAGCAAGTCTGATGTCATCTATTCCTAATCCTAATGGTGTGTTTGGTTGGGGGATTTGGGGAGGGATTTGGAAAGAGAAAGGGAAAAGATGTGTGAAACTATGTGAAATGTAAGTATATTTTATTCACATTTCACCTAACTTTTCCTTTTCCCTTTCCAAATCTCTCCTCAAATCCCCCAACCAAACACAGCGTAAATGAAATGTCATGACATGAGGATCCATAAGTGTATGCAGTTTGATTGATCAATGCATGATATTCCAAATCCTCCTCACCACTAATGGCCAAATAATCTCTAGATCGATTGGAATATCCTTTCAATTAGTTAGAATCCATGCTTGAACAAAACTAGATTTTTGTGAAATCATATTGGATGTTTGACCATACATTGCTACAAACCCAATCCTTGTTTACCAACCACCTGTGGTTTAACCAACTAAAATTCTCTCTTGATATATTCCTCCAAAAATCCCATTTCATGCTGATTCTTCCACCAATTAACAAAAAAAAGAACTTGTTGGAATTTCCACATGAAATTGAGCACAATTTGGCTAAAAAAATAGACCACTTGTTTCTTGATAATAGAATGGAAGCATGCTCAATATCATTTGATTGGATAGTTGACCATAATGGCTCTCATGCCAGCTGGTGTTTTGATAATATTTCAAGTGAGAGCTTGCACAGGAAAATAAGCCAGCTCCCACTATACAATATTTAGTAGGTTCGGGTGAAATTGTCACTCGTTGCCAGTTATCACTAAAAAGTAATAAAAATGGGCCCCTCATCAGTATTAGATCCAAATTGCTTTACAAAGACATCAGGTCACCATGCATGATGTCGCAGTTATCACCTTATTGAATGCACACTATACTATAGATTATACAAACATGAATGAGCCATGAGAATGCAACAATCATGATCTGCAATGCAACTGGAAATAATAACCATAGCAGCTATAAAGGCACATCAGTTGTTAAAACATCACAGTTCTGAACATATAAGCCACCTCAGGTTGATTGTGATAGAAATAAACTGTATTAGATCCAATTGCTTTACAAAGACATCGGGTAACCATGCATGATGTCACAGTTATCACCTTATTGAATGCACATTATACTATAGATTATACAAACATGAATGAGCCATGAGAAATCAACAATCATGATCTGCATTGCAACTGGAAATAATAACCATAGCAGCTATAAAGGCACATCAGTTGTTAAAACATCACAGTTCTTAACACACAAACCACCTCAAGGTTGATTGTGATAGAAAGAAACTGTGTTGATACTTACTTCTGAGCAAGCAAGACTTGAAGCTGAGAAAAAATACTCTCTTGCAGCTTGAATGACGAGATTTTCTGCCTTATCTGTTGCCAAAGCAACAGATGCGGTACCCCTTAAATAATTCCTCGCAAGTGAAAATTTCCCAGCTTTCAGCAGACCCCTGCAGAACTCCATCAACATATACTCTGGATCTACTAAAGGAAATGCCTTTTCTTGCAAGCTCTGCAAATCACGCCACATGTTTGCCCAATCATTATCTGATCTTCCAGGCTGTCGACGGATAAATTTGGAAAGTATAAGGCGGAGAATCTGTTTTACACCCTTTCCATCAGAATGTGCCTCCAAGAAAAAATTAATGGGCTTTGGGACCTGAACATGAAACAAAAACCATATTGAGAGTTCACATCCAAAACAATTAAATAAATAGATATTAAACAACAATATGGTTATATCTCAGAATGTTCATATACTAAAATCATCACTATTATGGCCAGACAGAATTGTGCATTAGTGATAGTCACTCTCAACAAAAAGTGCAAACCAGAGGAAGAAGCTACCATAAACAAAAAGTTCCACTGCCAGACTATTTATTTAATACTTCGCCTGGCACCCACAAGTTTACCAGGAATCTGATAAGTGATGCCTACTTATTAAAGTTGCAACAGTTGGATGCACTTTTTCTGTACCTAGATGGTAAGTAAAGCAATGATCATAAGAGTATTTCCAACAATCCCCACAAACAATAAATAGACTCATCATATCGAAAATATTTCAATATATTTTCCAGTCATCATCCAGCGAAAGAAAACCAAGAAAGAAGGCCAGGTAAACCGCGGATAATCCTTAAAGAAAACACACACAAACACAGCAGTCCCGTTGAACTGGTCACCAAAAAAACAAAAAACAACACAGAGAATGACACAAGTTTATGCTAGAATGTAAATAGCCACAAATCAAAATCCTTCTTCATAGAAGAAAGGTACAAACCTGGTAAAATGACAAAAGCCTTCCTGCTTCAATATGGCCCTCCGCCAGTTTAAGTCTTTTCTTGAGGCCTTCATCATATACTTCAGAATCTGTAAAGCCCATATATTCTCATTATACTCGAGAGTAGCAATTCCTAAATCCATGTTGACCAAATCTATACAATCTTATATACAATTAGAGAATTAGACATACATGTACACACATGCAAATACAGAGGGATCGAGGGACAGAAGTAAAAATGTATACAACTCATAGCGCACTGCAATTCAACCTTTTACTTCTGGATTTCAGTTTGTATCCACTGACCATGCATATTTACTTCCTATCTGATAATATAATAGTACAGATATCTTTACTTAAATAGGTTTTAAAAAAAAAGGCACGCAAGATGTACTATAAGGCATCAAGGAATCAGTGTAATGAAAAGGATAAGTTTTAGGGATATTAAACTCGAATATTTTCCTCCAAGTGTTCTACATATGCAAAACTCCTGGAATGACTTGAGCTCTTTCATGTAGCCTTTCCATCTCTTTCCTGTATGATTGTTATCATTCCAGCATTCTATATATTTTCTCTTACAGGCAGAGCAGTGGTTGCACAAGCATGGATTGGGAGACTTCACACACATTCACTTTGACATCAACCGTTCACCCAAAAAAAAAAAAAAATGTGAGAGGAAAACAGATAACACAATCAAGTAACACAAAAAACACAAAGAATGGGATAAAGTTTTTCATGTTTAATGCAAAATGTTTGCAATATAAAATATAAGATGATAAATCCCACAAGCCATTTACAGAAAACAGATAAGATGAAAAATTAGATCTATGACTCTGTCCAAGTCACAACTTTGACTCATTTCAAGTGAACATAAATTAGATCTATGACTCTTTCCAAGTTCCAACTTTCACTCATTTCAAGTGAACATTGAGCCCTATCAAATTATCTGATAGACAATATATCTCATTTGTCATCTAGAATGAAGTCCGTATGAGGGAAAATTACCTCGCATTTCTGGAAGCTTTGACAAAATTGAGGCCATGGTAGTCCACCTATCTGCAACAGTACACAAATATATGCACTGCAGAGAACAATCTGCTGCTTCAACCTTAGTCCTGAAAAAGCTATTACTTTGAAGGTCCCTGCACCCATCTTCAATGACCTTCAAGCACATGTCTAATTTGTTCTCCGAAGCAATCTCCTTCAGCCATTTAACCAGAAATGAGTCAGCCTTCTCATCTGCTGCAGTAGAATGGCCATCCATCACAGCATCTCCAGAAACTGAGGTCATTATATGAAACTTATTTTGCATAAACGGAATTGCCTTCTCGCGTAATCTCTTAACCATGTTTTCCTCCTTGACCCCCTTAAGCATCATTTTGAACTTTTCATAGTCAGATAATTGTTCCCATGCAACAAGGCCCACAGTAAAATTCACCTCATCGTCACTGTCATCAGAATAAATGAGCTGGTGCAAATAACAGATATCCTCATGGAATTGCTGCAGCTCATAAATACCTTTGCGACAAGCAAAGTCAACCAAAGACAAGCAGTTGCCTAGTTGCCCGCTGAAGCTATCCATGTCTCTAGCTCTGTTTCTGTACCACATAGAGAGCTCATCGGTTGATGGCCACGAAAAACCCACGCATTGCTTCATGATGGGTTCGGTTCTGAGCTGTATACTTCTTTCCTGATTCTCAGGGAGTCTGCCAATAAATGTTACCATCTCTTGACATTCAACCCAATCTTTTTCTCTCAGAGCAACACTTGAAGGAGGAGCAGCCCCAGGAAGAAGCTGCCCATAAGATTGAACTGGCACAGTTTCAGGGATTGCAGCTAAAATTTCCAACATAAAAGGCGTCAATGAATAAGGATGACGCTTGAATAGAAGGTTCAATGCCCCAATTTTCCCACTTTCTGCAAGTGTCATAGCAGCTTCATTGATTGGCATAATGCGAAATTTGCTGTACTCCTGCACAGAAAACCTGCATAAGGCTAAGTCATTAAGTTGTGAGTCAGTAGAAACCAATTGAGGAAGGGAAATCTAAAAGATAAAGATATAACATTTTTAACTAGGCATTTGGATTGGAGAGTTCATTTTATTTGCCAAAGTGACAGACAAATATCAAAGAGAAAACATACTGAATGCTTAATACAGTCATGAGATGATCATCATCAAATGGGATTTAGTTCCATAATTTCAAAGAAATGATATTTTAAGTAGGCCTCTGAGAAACAAAAGTTTCAGTCATGTAGCCTTACGAAAACATCACTCACAAGAAATTATTGTTGACTATAGCTTAACAGTGTTTTCACACACATTGATTTTTTTAATTACAAAAGTACCTTAAAGGTGCCAACCCTGTACATTAAAAAAGCCATACAATTACATTTCAAACAAAATATTGCTTCTTATCCATGTCAAGAACATATGGAGAGAACCTGGCTAGCAAATTCAAAGATCATCTTGTGCAACAATATATGCAGTACAACACAATAGATAATTGCATGCAGGCATACACATGGGAATTCACTTTGTTCTAAAAGTTAGACCCACTTCAAGGGAGAAAAAACAATAACAAATAAACTTGCAAACATAGTTTTTTACATATAAGTGGATAGTCATATCAAAACTTTTGATTACTGTAACATCAAGAAACCACGTGGCTCCATGGAACCCTGAACTGAAATATATAAATAGAGTAGAGGTTGAAACTAGGTGATTATGCTACCTTTGCACAAGAGAAAATAAATTATTGATAGAGCTATTAAGTATTACCTGCCCATATTTATCCCAAGAAATGTCTCCAGCTTGTCTCTGAATTGCAACAATTTAAGTCTTGCCAAACAAAATTCCCAAATTTGGCTATTTTCGTCAACTTCGGTTTCAGAGAATCTATACTGGTTTGTGAGGTGGAGACCGTGTGCAATTGAAGCCCTCACTGCATCTTCTGTTGGTCCAACTCCATCCACACATTCGGAAAGCACAAAAGCTTGATCCTTGATAACTGAAAGAAACATTTTTATTTCATTTATTCCTCGGGCAGAGCACAACCACTGTGACTTTAGCACTTCATCTTTATCCAATCTATGACGATTAGCAAACTCCAAAGCGGCCTGATACTCTTGATCACTAATTAATATGTCATACATTTCAGAAACAGACCTCTTTGAGAACGATATCAAGCTCCAGCGCAGTTTAGCAAAGTCCAATTGATTATACTCATCTTCAGTGACCAGATCCACATGTTGCAAGTCACTTGCCGCCTTCTTATTGGATGAATCATGGCTCTCCTCAGATAATGTACTTTCTAAAAGAAACAAGTTCCCTGGGAACTGTTGTACTCTTTCCAAGATGGGCATAGAGTATAAAGGATCTTTCTCCAGTAGTTTATTACCACTAAGAATGTCAATCATGGTGACAATGCCATTTCCTTTTACAAGAACAAGGATATAATCAGACCACCAAGTAAAATCCACTGCATTGTTCAATGATTCCCTCCCCCTAGTTGACATATTACTAGCCACTTGTGAGTCAAATGTCTCTCCACAAGAAAGATTTGAAAGAGAAGACCGTTCATTATCCAGCTTAAAAATGACCAAGCATCCTCTCAAATCAAGAGTGGCAACAAACTTACCCTGTGGTGAGATAATCACCTTGGGATATGTCAATTGACCTACATAACCTTTTGGTTTGGAATATAAACCTTCAAACTGCGTAGAAAACCCTGGTTCCAAGCCTAGGTTCTTGGTTCGATGCCAAAGAGAAAGGCTATAGGTTCCTGGGAAAAAAAATTGAACAACAGTTTAATAGCTTTATAGAGATATATTTTTTCGACAAAACAATCATTGTGTATTTAAAAAAACAGGCCTTAGCTTCTAATAATATGTAACCATCCTCCTCTTCATGTTTTCTATACCAGATTGAATGTCTAAAGAAAAATTTCCACTGAAATGAAGAAAAAAAAAAATAGTTGAACATTTAGGAACTGAGCCCAAGACCTGAAACACTGATCTAATAGTCTGCATCCAATTCATATGCATAGAACTTCGGACCCCAGCACTGATATTGAGGACAACCTAATGACTGAACTAATATTGACGCACTTTCTAGAATTAATTTACCTATTTAAAAGAAAAACAAAATCAATGATCAGAAAATATCTGATCATTTTGTGATGTTACTAAATAGAAATTGTCGGTGGGACCATTTATTTTCTGGTTCTGAACTAGTAATTGCATCTATACAGGATATAATTTCAGTAAGATAGTGGTCCATCCAAGTTCAAGACTTCCAAAAAAGAAGATTGTTGTAAAGTCATGCCAGAGAAAGAGAACAAAAATGAATAAAGTGAAAAATGGTACCAGTGTTACAACTAGAGGTCACTGGAGCACTAACAGCACCACCAACTATTGCAAGCAAAGAAGTTTCCGGATGGTAATTCAAGCAGAAGACATTCTCCGGGAACTCCTTTAAAGTTGAGTTGTTATTTGATGTGCGTGCAGAGAAAACAGACGCACTTGGATCCTGACTGATCTCAACTTCATGAAGAGAACCATCTGATGTAAGAACATCAAAGCTACACCTGTAAAATAATTTTATCCACTCAAAAAGGAGCTGTTTAAGAATTAATTAAACTGAGATATGAAAATAAATATTCATAAACAAAAACTTTTAACTCAACATATTTTTATGCAGGGGCTGCTGACAGTTATGTGAAAACTTACAAGCAAGATTTGTTCATATCAGAGCTATCGTGCACTATCAAGCCTGCTATTGGTAAAGACACTTTTAAATATTTTTTTGTGATTCTGGTTATCTCTTCACCATTGGCTTTTATAAAATAGAGTATATCGGTATCATCCACAACTCCAAGAACATCATGAGATTCCGACCAAATTCCGGAAGTAAATGAGCCAAGGCTGCTACCTGATTGCACAAAACAGAAGTTACAATTAGTGTAACAGATGAATGAAATGCAGAGGACCATGAAACAAGCACTGATATTCAATTGACATGTGTGTTCATCTTTAAACAATTTGGTTTCTAAGTTTCTAACAGGGCTATATCAAAAGGTGATTGAAATTTCCAGACCTAATGAGCACAATCAAAAGCATGTGAAAAAAAGAGTAATAGCATATAGATCAAAGCTATTTTTATAGGCAAAGGAAGAAAATTTTAGGGATGAAGATAAACCTCAAATTTTATTTTGATGACATTTACTAAACATATGATTAGTCTTCAAAGAGATGGCATGGTATGTTTTGAAAAGTAGGGACTAGGGAGTATCTAAAGTACAATGCATCATCCTAATCACTAGGAGTTGGTTCCTTTGAATATGGATGCATTGACTGGACGTCTACATATGGAGGACAACACTAAATGTTGTTTGTTTATAGATTAAACAGACCAAGGGAAGGTAAATGGTAATTGGTAAGCTAAAAATAAAATGCTATAGAATGACAACACACCGCACGCACGAGCGCACACATAGGCACAGAGACAGACTTCAGATGTTTAGAGTCATGTTCTTGTACCTAATGCAGGGCTTGTGTTAGAGTAGTTTTAAAATCAGTGTCCTCTATCTTTCCTCGAAAAAAAATTGATCTATTGACACTTCCTTTGGTGATCTACCAGTTATTCACAATTTAGTTTTGTGATGCCTTAAATCTCAGTCAATATCATAAGATATTACTGCAATTTAATCTTGGATACATAAACATACCAGTTTTTCATTATCACTTTATGGTAGTCCTGGTATCCTGGGTAAAATTTTATCAGTAGTGGATTCATACAAGTGTAACACTCTTACAGTTCACCACATATATGAGTTGTCTGACACAACTACTCAGCATATCTAATGGCTGGAGAAGGCTATATCATATAATTATTTTCTATGTGCTTCAAGCACCAAACAAATTTATGCATGTGCTCATGATGTTTGTCTGTTTGTCTGGATTAACCACGCTGTGCTGCCTCAATAACAAGCTATGAATTGTACAAATAAGGTAGCAACTGTATTATCATCAGTGCGCAACATTGTCAAAGTATAGTTTATGAGAAATATCAACAAGCAGCTCCCAGTGTAAACATCAGAAAGAGAACTATATCAAGGCCTCGTTTGTCAACTATATATTTTAGCCAAAAAGTCAAAAAGTCATTATAAGTTGTCACATCACTCTCTCTACTTTTCTACACATCTTTTCGTAAAAAACCAAAAAGTTACTAAAATAACTTGTTCCCAAACGAGGCCAAGTATCATAGGTGAAGTAACAAACAATAAATAAAATGATACTTACGGTGCCACTACAATAAATGCACCCAAAAGGTAAGAAACTTTCATTGGAGACAATCCCCTATCCACAATAATAATAATAATAATAATAATAATAATAATAATAATAATAATAATAAAAGAAGGGCTAAGGATGCTATCTTAAAAACTGATAACTACCATCGTGAAACAAAATCTTTTAGTAGAAGGCTGCGAGATGTGATGCAAACTGTAGAATGTAACACAACGTTTTCATGCATGCTTATCTACCTAGTTCCATGAAATAAGCAACTGAATCTTACTAGTGAAAAGGCCACATGGCTCCTGGTAATCATCATCCTTCTTCAAGATTGTTATCTGATTTCCCACCGCAACAGCCACATGTTCACCACTTGGAGAGACAAACAAAGTTATCCATTTCTTCAATTTTTTAAGACGCCTAAATCCACTCCATTTTTCTTTAAGTTGACTAACACCTTCACGGTATTTAAGAATCAAAAAAAGAAAAGGTCAGCAATATATGCTTTGCCAAAACCAATAAATTCCAAAACACACAACTACCAAGATGGTAATCCAAGAAATGAGAAATGATCATATAATTCATAAGCCAATTAAAAGTATTATACATTTTCAAAATGTGGATGACATCTAACTACAACGGATATAAGCTTAATTTTCTGCTTACCAGAAGAATTGGCAGCCTCTCTCTACATTTTTTATCGAAATTAATAATACACGGGCATAAAATGGAAATATCCATTGCACAAGTAATTTAATAAAGAGCGAGTTTATATCCCCAACTTCCCTTCACATTCACACCACAATCCTTATTGTAAATTACGATCAAAAGAACCAACATCGCAAATCATAAAACCTGTGATGCAAAAGTTTCTCTAGTAATCTAAACAAAGAAACGATCAGGTTATCAATATCAGTGCCTCTGTACTCAATCAACCCTTATATCTTGAAATATGCAATACAATTAAACAACCTTCCTACATAAATAATATTGAGAAATCTACATTTTGCTTAAATGGATCCATTTGTGTCACTGTCAACCATAAGTTTCCGTTTGTATTGAAGGATTTAAAATGCATGCATTTGACATTAATCAATTAAAAAAAAAGAAAAGAAAAAAAAAGAAGCTTAAATTTAGATTTGATATTTTAGCTATGGATTTCAAGATTGACTTATACAATTTTATTATGATGGATTTAAAATGACTATATAAAAGTATTATTTAAAAGTATGGTAGGGATTCTCCTCTAGCTACATGGATCCTATTAAAATGCATATCTTCTATCTCAACTTATCTTCTATAATTGTTCTATCCACCTATAATAACTTACTCTCCAATATTTTTATAAAAAAATTCAACCTCAAATGCCTTGATTTGAAATAACTCATCCATGAATCTATGAACGTACACAGTAAATTTTATGCGTATCAATGTCTCCAATTGAGAATCTATGCTTCAAAATGCCAAAAAGTGCTCAATGTCCACATTACACAAACACAAGTGTACACATATGTACCGATATAGATCAGTATATGTATACATTTAAACTAAAAATTAACTACTACAGATACTTGAGAAAGTAAAAATCCAATGTACCTCGAGTTGAAAGCAACGAGAGAAAACTTCCTTTGACCCCATCATTTAGCTGAATTACAAACATAATTAAATTGACTAATTAGACTAAAATGAGATAAAGAAGCTTCAAATTCATGAAACATATATATCTATATATATATATAGAGAGAGAGAGAGAAAGAAACCTGTTGATGCTGGGGAGGGTAATTGGGAGAGAAAGGCCTGGAAGCGTGAGAACGTGTCTGATAGAGAACTTCTCGCACGCCTTCTTCCATGAAAACCGAAATCAAAGACAACAAATCACCGTGTGTATTTGCCCAAGATCTCAAACCCTAGACCTCAAGCGTCAGGATCCTCTGGAGTTTAAATCCTGAAGTCATCTCCTAAAGTGATCCATCTAACGGCTGAAATTAAATCTCACCAAAACGAGTCGTTTTGGTGAGTAATTTAAAAAATAAAAAATAAAAAAATTCAGATCTATTTCTTCGTTCCTGTGATTGTAAAGCAGAGCATTAGAGAGAAAGAGAAGGGTTGAGAGAAGAGGAGGATCCAAACAGGTATTGGTTTGTATGCATTGATTGAATACCTTACTGGAAAAATAAAATAAAAATATACTCACCAAGATAAAGCCCCCTCTCTTTCATCATCTAAATCCTCAACATAATAGGACTCATCGTCTTCTACAACTGTGGGCCTATGATCCTCCTGCAAACAAAAAACGCAATTTTGTTTTACAAAAACAGGAAAATCAAAATCAAAACATAGACAAATAGGGGAAATGGAAGAACCTTGGAAGAAGATTTGTGCTTTTTGCTATGGCGACCTTTTTCACCTGCAATTAGAGAGTGAATCAATTAATTCATATCACCAGAAATTGATTTGGCAGTTCGGCAAGCGTGTCCTATGGCGATTGCTCTCAATCTTGTCGCAGTGGAGTTTGTAAGTGACTGCAAACCCGTTATTCATCTCTGTGCCTCAGAAGGGGTCCCCCCGTGGGAATGCCTTGCTGTGCTGAGTGATTTAAGATCGATGCCCTCGCACAGGCAGTGGGTCTTTAGGAGAGGTGAAGGATGAAGTACCGTGTCCCATGGAGATCTCTGTGGAATATTGGTCTGTATCGTTTCGTTTGGGGTTTTCTCTGTGTGGGAGTTATGTAGATGCAGAGGGGATTTTGGTGTATATTATAACTGCAATAAGGAGACGTGGAGAGTGGGAAGTGGAAAGTGAAATTGATTGTTTTATTTTATCATTTTATCAAATAAAATAAAAATATACTCACCAAGATAAAGCCCCCTCTCTTTCATCATCTAAATCCTCAACATAATAGGACTCATCGTCTTCTACAACTGTGGGCCTATGATCCTCCTGCAAACAAAAAACGCAATTTTGTATTACAAAAACAGGAAAATCAAAATCAAAACATAGACAAATAGGGGAAATGGAAGAACCTTGGAAGAAGATTTGTGCTTTTTGCTATGGCGACCTTTTTCATCTGCAATTAGAGAGTGAATCAATTAATTCATATCACCAGAAATTGATTTGGCAGTTCGGCAAGCGTGTCTTATGGCGATTGCTGTCAATCTTGTCGCAGTGGAGTTTGTAAGTGACTGCAAACCCGTTATTCATCTCTGTGTCTCAGACGGGGTCCCCCCGTGGGAATGCCTTGCTGTGCTGAGTGATTTAAGATCGATGCCCTCGCACAGGCAGTGGGTCTTTAGGAGAGGTGAAGGATGAAGTACCGTGTCCCATGGAGATCTCTGTGGAAGATTGGTCTGTATCGTTTCGTTTGGGGTTTTCTCTGTGTGGGAGTTATGTAGATGCAGAGGCGATTTCGGTGTATATTATAACTGCAATAAGGAGACGTGGAGAGTGGGAAGTGGAAAGTGAAATTGATTGTTTTATTTTATCATTTTATCCCTAATTAAAACTGTTGGAAGTGTAAAAGGTTAAGGCCATTTTAGGAATACTAAGAAAAATTTCTAAGGAATGGCTTTATGACACTATAAATTGCGTTTACTTTATAATAATACTAGTGGGTGGCACACATGATGTGTGTGCAATTTAAATAAGTAGGAATAAAAAAAAACTAATAATGAAATTAATATTATAATGTGTACTTAGCTTAAGTGGTATGAGTCTTCGTACTTAAACCTATGGTCATGGGTTCAAGCCTTGCCCATCTCTTTGTTTAACTTTTTTTTTAAAAATAAAACATACTGCCACATGGCATGAGCAGAGTAAAGCAAGCTTCAGGACACCATATTATGTGTTCACTTTATAATAGTATAGAAGATAGATAGATAGATAGATAGAAGATAGATTAGTGGGTGGCACATACGATGTGTGTGCAATTTAAATAAGTAGGAATAATAAAAAATAATAATGAAATTAATATTATAATGTGTACTTAGCTTAAACATACTGCCACATGGCATGAGCAGAGTAAAGCAAGCTTCAGGACACCATATTATGTGTTCACTTTATAATAGTATAGATAGAAGATTAGTGGGTGGTACATACGATGTGTGTGCAATTTAAATAAGTAGGAATAATAAAAAATAATAATGAAATTAATATTATAATGTGTACTTAGCTTAAGTGGTATGAGTCCTCGTACTTAAACCCATGATCATGGGTTCAAGCCTTGCCCATCTTGTTCACTTTATAATAGTATAGATAGATAAAAAAAAATAATAATGAAATTAATATTATAATGTGTACTTAGCTTAAGTGGTATGAGTCCTCGTACTTAAACCACATGGCATGAGGAGCCCATGGTCATGGGTTCAAGCCTTGCCCATCTCTTTGTTTAACTTTTTTTTAAAAAATAAAAAATACCCTCACATGGCATGAGGAGAGTAAAGCTTCAGGACACCATAAAAGGTGTTCACTTTATAATAGTATAGATAGATAGATAGATAGATAGATCACTTTATAATAGTATAGATAGATTAGCGGTTGAGGCACACACGATGCATGTGCAAATTCAGTAAAAAATTATATTATTTTTATATTATATTTTTTAATAATAATATACATATGAATTATAAGTGCAATGTAATGCAAGCTAAATATTTCTAACTATGTGTAATATAACATTTACTTGGTATATATAGGAGGAAATTTCATTTTCCCCTCCCAAACTATATCTGTTTGATTAATTTTACACATGAACTTTTGATATTGTCAATTTATCCCCTAATAACCTATTCAAATAGTGATCAATGTGTCTCCTACTGTCACATATAAACAAAAAAGTTAAAAGAAAAAAAAAATTACATTTTGGCCTCAAATTTTAAATTATAGATTCAAACTCACTCTCTCTCTCCTTTCTACACCTTTACAACTCCGCCAGCTATTTCCGTTGCTGGCTAGCCTTCCTCTTCCCTCCGCCACTGCAATTCCTTCCTCAATCCTCCCATTCTGTCTTTAGTCACCAAAACCCATAACATAAAACTACAATGATAGACACCAACAAGCTCTGGGTTGCTTCTGATTCTTCTCTCAAATACTTACTCTCTCTCTCACACACACACACACACACACACACACACACACAAGTGTGCGCGCGCACACACACATACCAACCTATATCTTTAATGGTGAACAGTGCTAATTCAACCCCAACTGATACTTTTCAGCTCCACAATCTTCAACCACAGAAGACTTAGCTCTAAAAGCGTTGAACAATCGATACAAAGGTCTAGTCACAGTTCGAACCAAGGCGATTAAAGGTAAAGGAGCTTGGTACTGGGCACATCTTGAACCCATTTTGATTCGAAACCCAGATATAAATCTTTCTAAAGCAGTCAAACTCAAGTGCACTTTGTGCGAATCTTCTTCTTTACTTCGAACCCTTCTCATACTGCTTTGGAGCATCTCAAGAGATGGACTTGCCCTAATTTCATCACCATTGCCAAACCCATTTCCTCCTCACAAAAACACCAACAACAACAATATTACTACCTCCTTTAGCTTCTCCTTCTTCTCACAATCATCGGAAACAAACTTCTTAAAATCCTGGTACTTGTTCGTCTTCGTACCAACCTAATTCAATGGCGATAATTGATTCAACTGGGTTTGAAGTTGAAGCAACAACAACTGGGTTTGAAGTTGAAGCAACAACAACTGGGTTTGAAGTTGAAGCAACAACAACTGGGTTTGAAGTTGAAGCAACAACAACTGGGTTTGAAGTTGAAGCAACAACAACTGGGTTTGAAGTTGAAGCAACAACAACTGGGTTTGAAGTTGAAGCAACAACAACTGGGTTTGAAGTTGAAGCAACAACACTTGGTCTTATCGGGTGGAAAAGAAGACTTGGGTGCTTGGCAATGTTGGAAGGTTGTGTGAAGAAGCTCAAGAGCCCAAAAGCTTCGCCTAGTTCAGCATTAAACAAGATTCAAATCGATTCTATGTTTGATTTTCTAGCTGATGGGTTTTTCGAGTCTTGTCGGTCAATTTCATTTTTGAGCCTCGAGCACCCAAAATTCAAATCTTTTCTTTACCAAGTAGGCTTCCCCGCCTTGTCCAATGATGGAGGGAGGAGGCTAGCTGGCGGTGGCAGTGGTTGGTAGAGTTGCGTCAGGATCCTCTGGAGTTTAAACCCTGAAGTGATCTCCTAAAGTGATCCATCCAACGGCTGAAATTAAATCTCACCAAAACGACATCGTTTTGGTGAGTAATTTGAAAAAAAAAAATCAGATCTATTTCTTCGTTCCTGTGATTGTGAAGCAGAGCATTAGAGAGACAGAAAGAGAGAAAGAGAAGGGTTGAGAGAAGAGGAGGATCCAAACAGGTATTGGTTTGTATGCATTGATTGAATACAAATAAACGATTGACAAACCTAACAAAAATTCAAACAGGTATTGGTTTGTATGCATTGATTGAATACAAATAAACGATTGACAAACCTAACAAAAATTCAAACAGGTATTGGTTTGTATGCATTGATTGAATACAAATAAACGATTGACAAACCTAACAAAAATTCAAACAGGTATTGGTTTGTATGCATTGATTGAATACCTTACCGGAAAAACTTGGTTTTCGATTCCATTGAGGGAATGCTTTTGTGTATACAAATATATATATATATATATGTTTTCTTCACTACCCATACAAACCTCCATAGCCCAACAACAAAGTGAATATTTTTGTGTATATAAATATATATATATATATATATATCAGAATATGTATCTATAGAATTAGTCAAACCTCACAACCCACAAAGACAACAATAATGTTTCAGGAATTGAACTTGGGTAGATGGGTTTGAGATTGAGAGATCTCTCAGAGTTCCAAAGAAGAGAGAGAGAGAGAGAGAGAGACTCTGTAACTCAAACCTCACAACCCACACACAAGTGAGATAGAAAGGAATAATAAACCTTAAATGAAGTCAGGTACTTCACCTTCTTGCCCTGCTGTCTGATTAGTCAATTCCGGTGCGAAATTGGATGGTTTGATCGAGAAAGAGAGAGAACAACGATGATTTCCGGTGAAGAAATATTTTTTCTTTCTGTCTCTCTAATGCTCTGCTTCACAATCACAGGAACAAGAAATAGATCTGATTTTTTTTTTTTTTTCAAATTACTCACCAAAACGACTCGTTTTGGTGAGATTTAATTTCAACCGTCGGATGGATCACTTTAGGAAATCACTTCAGGATTTAAACTTCAGACGATCCTGACGCAGACCTCAAACACCGAGAGAAAGCGCACAAAATTCCTTGTGAAAACATTTTAGAGAGAGAAAAGTTCTTGGAGAGAGAAAGAGGGTAACCGGTTCAGGACCTTTGAGACGTGAACCGTTCGATCCAACCAGTAAGTCAATCTGTTTGGCTTCCGCGATATCGTAACGCAATCGAGTGACATGGTTTTCCAGGGACAGTACATGGAAGTTCATGCACCGAATAGACTAGAAAGAATTTTTGATTTTTTTTGGGGATAATTTTATAAAAGAAAAAATAAAAAAATTATGATTTAAATATAATATTTTATCTTATTAATATTTTAATTTACTTTACCTTTTAATAGATTTAGGGGTTGTTTGGCATAGACTATATAATTCATCTTTTTATCTTTTTATCTTTTTTCCATCACATCACCTCTCTACTTTTCTGCACATCTTTTCGTAAAAAGACAAAAAATATACTTTTTTAAGACACCCCAAACCAACCCTAAATAAGTCTAATCTACTTCTAAAATGAGACCTTTAACATCTCCTCCTCCCAGACAGGATTGATCTTGACTTTTTAGGCATAAGGCAAACCATTAAGATGGAGCCCTTTATATATAATGAGAAAAAAAAACTATGGGGAAAAATTAAACAGATATAAATTAAAGGGAAATTCAACTTACAGAAATTCAATCCATAATTCAGAAAACATCCAAAAAACAAAATTTACCAGTAATTGAAGAGAATATCTAATAGAAGTAAAACAAAAGCATGAAAAAGTTTAAATAGAAATTAATAAAATTATCTCACAAAAATAAGATTTAAAAAATAAGGCAAATTTATAGCACACACCAAAATTAAGCAAGTCCGCAAATAAAAATAAAAATAAAAAGCAATGAAATCAATAATTAAAGAAAAGAGACACCAAATTAAAAAGAAAAGTCCTCAAATTAAATATATAAAGTCTTCGTTTGGGATGTGGGTTGATTTTGGCTATTTCAGCCTGAAGTTAAAAAATCTCGTTTGGAATAGACTTTTTGACTTTTTTGCCTTTTGTAAGAAAAAAATGAAATAATTATAGTTTAAATGTGACATTTTATCCTATTTGACTAAAATAGTCAATTTTATCCTATATTTTAGCCCAAATACCACTATAGGAAATCGCACTTTTGCCGACTAAAAATTTGGTCACAAAAGTCCATTTTTAATTGGCAAAAGTTATCCGTGACTAATTTTTTTGATCGCCATTTTGGTCGCCAATTGAGGGTCAGAAAAAATAATTAGCAACTAAAATATTTTTTAGTCAGGAAAAAGTTCTATTTGCCGACTAAATTTTTTGTTACTAAATATATAATTACTGTGACTAATCCATTTGGTAGCTAAAACAATTTAGTCGCGTAAGGATATATTTTCCTGACCAAACATGTTTGGTCGCCAATTGTCACATTCCACGACCAAAACGTTTAGTCGCCATTGCATTCCATGACCAAAAGTTTGGTCGCCAATTGTTACATTTCACGACCAAAAGGTTTGGTCGCCAATTGTCACATTCAATGGCCAAACATGTTTGTCGCCAAAAGGAATGTTTGCGCAACTAAAATTTTAGTCGGCAATAGACCTATTCGTAACCAAATCCATTGGTTGCCAAAATTAATAATCTTAATGACTAATTATTTGGTCGCCAAATGTGCGCGGTGATACACTGACTACCTTATTTAGTCAGCAAAAGTATAACTTATCTTTCCCGACTAATCAATTGGTCGCCAAAACAAGAAAAACAAAACTAAAATTTGGTCACCAACATCCAACAAAATAAACCTTTAATTTATAAAAATCTATCCAATTCATTCAATATAATTTGTAATTTTCAAAACTCATTCAAACCAACAAATAAACTGAATCATGAACATTCAACAAAATACATATATCAGTTAATTCTGAACCTGTTTAATTAAAGTCAGCAACTATTATAAGTTTTCATCCACAAGTAATTCCAAACTACATATTCCTCCAATTACAAATCCGCTTGTAATCATCCAATTCACATCCATCTAGCATAAAAATTTAAAAATAACAAACACTTCTTATTATGTTTTAAATTTTTATCCATGTGCATGAATAACAAAATATAACTAGTAGTCTACCAAATATTTTCCATACACACTCATTCAAAAATATAATTACTAGTGTATCCAAAAATATAACTATTAGTCTACCAAAATATTTTTTATACATATCTATCTAAAAATATATAATCTTTCCAAAAATGCGAAAAGTGCCAATTAGTCCTGTACAATTTAGCTTCGTGCACGAGTTCATTCATCTGTACTAAAGAAAAAGAGAAATAATGTTAGGTAAAATTGGACAAAAAATGAAAAATGTCCATGAAAAGTAAAGGTAACATGAACAAATTAAATGACTATCATTACCAAATTGTAAATAAAACAACAACATTCATATGTACATATCATTACCATTTTGGTATTTCATAGTTTATTTTTTTTTAATTGACTTAAATGTAATTCAAAGAAGAACAGATCAAAAATAAATAAATAAAACAACAATTGACAATAATATGCAATGGACTTCTCAATTAGCAAATATAAACTATATATACTGGCATAGGAGAGTGTCTAGCCGTACTGAAGGGACTTGACAATACTCACACTTGAAGACTGATAATTTCTCATCTCTTGATGGTGAAATTCATTACTTTGATGTCTTCACTGTTGGAACTTGGAGCTTGCAAGTGGTATGTATTCTTGGAATGCTTCTATTCTCTTTTATTTCAAGCTCCATGATTCAGTGAGTCATCAAATATCAGTTAAATGGTCAGTTTAGCATTTCTATGATTCTTTAATTCAAATGCATATGTTCAGAAATTATGCTTGAAATAATTGCTTGGCTGTGTGCAAGTATTTTTTACTGATATTGAATTGAAGGAGTGTTTTGTGTGTTTTTATAATGTTGCCAAAGCAAGCTCAAGATTAGCCCAAAGCCTATTGTGGGTTCAACTTACATAGGCAAGTTTCACACAGCAGCATTGGTCTTAGGGCATACAAGCACGTCATAGCCTAACAGAATGAGAAGCAGGGACAAAGAAGTTGCCTCTGCTGTTGCATGATTAGAAATCTCACAATGTGAATGCTTGATGATCTGTGTTGTACAAAGCACCACTAGAAACAGTTAACAGTTTGAGTATTTCTCTTCTTTATTATAGTTAACTGAAATTTCTGATGTCTTTCATGGTTTCTTGTAATGACTCTAGGAATTTATTGTTCTTTACCAAAGGATATTCAGAAGAAAAGGACACGTACCTGTCCCTCCTTTTAGAGTTAGATAATTGGGAATATTTCCTTCTAAACAAAAATTGAAGCGGAATTCAAATGGTCGTGTTTGCCTTTTTTATCACAATTTTTGGTCTACATATCTAACCGTGCGTCCTATCGACTCGACGCGCCGTTTGCTCTCACAATTTTGTTTAATTTAGACCAAGATGACCATTATGATCTCGGAGTTGTTTCGAGGCTGTTTCCAATTTTTGGCCCCAAACGACCCATTTTTGCCTTTTTTCATCACAATTTTTTGTTTAAATATCTAACCGTGCGTCCTATCGACACGCCACTTGCTCTCAGAAGTTTGTTTAATCTAGGCCAAGGTGATAGTATGATCTCGGGGTTGTTTCGAGGCTGTTTCCAATTTTTGACCCTAAACGACCCATTTTTGCCTATTTTGTCACATTTTTTTGGTCTAAATATCTAATCGTGCGTCCTATCGACGCGTCGCTTGCTCTCATAAGTTTGTTTAATCTAGGCCGAGGTGACCGTTATGATCTCGGGGTTGTTTTGAGGCTGTTTCCAATTTTTGGCCCCAAACGGGCTGTTTTCACCTTTTTTCATCACATTTTTTTTGGGGTAAATTACACTAACAGTCCCTATAGTTTGGAGTTTGTGTCACTTTAGTCCCTGACATTTCAATTGTGATACATTTGACCCTGAATTTTGAATCTTATTTTAAATAAGGACAATTGAAAATATTATTGTTTAATTTCAAGGGCAAAATTGTCAAATTGATAAATATAAACTAATTTGACAAAAATAAATGTTGAAAAAAATATTTTTAAATTTTTAAAAATTATTTTTACCCACCAAAGATAAAATTATGTAAAATTGACAAATCTTTTAGACATTTATTTATTTATTTTTACTAAATTAATTTTTATTATGTGTTTAGATGATAATCATGTAATGGGTGATTGTTAGGATTTTAATGTGTAATCGATATATTTGATATATGAAATATTTTTAGTTTTAGATTTTTTATTTAATGGATTGATTTAATAATAATATCAAAGTTGTCGCC